ACTTACACTGAAGTCAAAATAAGAAGTACACGTATGAGAAATCTCAAAAAAAGAACGAGATTTCACACACTTTTGAATCCAAGGACGAAATATCTCGGCAAATAACGTCGTGATGTGCTTTGGAAGAGGTATTTTGCAATGTAACGTTCGTATGACTTTCTGAACGAGACACGATTTCTGCCACACTTTGAACGAAATACTATGCCTTGGCTTTTATGTATTGGAAAAGTAAAATCATTTTTTTTTTTTTTTTTTATAAAAGTCAAACGTTTCATTTAATATCTGTAATCGTTTCATTTTACATTCACAAATTTTCGCTGTGAATTCATTTTCATCCGATAATTTGTTGCAACTGCAGCTTTCCCTGCAATTTGTCTCGAGCTGTTAAACATTGCGGTTGTCCACATCTTTTTTTCTTTTCATAGTTATCGTGATCTTTTAGCAAAATTCATTGTCACTTTACGACTTCTGTTAACTGTTTTGGCTACAATTTTTGTCACAATTTAATTTCAATATCGTATGTATTTCAGCTGGATTTATTATTATTATTACTTATTTATTTTTTTGTTTCTCGCCATCTATTTTTATGAACATAGTCGACCGTATTTCACACGAATGTTACGCTTCCGATAGCTTCCGTACGACTGAGGAGTGTATATAAATATTCGATTTTGTTCTTCTTGGGACTATGGATAGTATTTATTCTCGTTTTTGTATTCGAACGATTTTACAATACACAATATAAGTCTCGCGGTTGTGGACGATATTTACATTTTCGTTTTTGTATTTCTAAGAAACTGCGTTTCTTTGGAAGTGACAACACGTTCATGGATACTGATGTTAGTTAACAATCTACACATTATATATTTTACAATACATAATATGTATAACGAAAATATAGAATGTACTGAACATATATAATTAATTATAATATTATATAATCATATTATGTTGTACAAAGTTATATTATGATTACAAGATATTTAAATTACTTATATATTTTGCAGTCACAATCACTAAGATTACTATCCATACTATGTAATAATTTGTTACTAAATATATAGTTTTCGAGGGGTGTTTTATAATTGTCACATGCATATATTATTAAATCCATCTCAAATTTGAGTGATTATAGCACTTGAATCTCACTGTTGATTAAATATCAAAACGTTTTATATAGATATTATTATCACAGTCTTTTCTCATTGCAGTGTTAACAAAATATTTCGTATAACACATGTAATACGTATGTTTGAATATTTTCGTTGAATGTTAAAATATTATGTATGGACGAAGGCAAAGTTGTTCTTACCAAGCGTAATTTCTTACAAACTACCTAATTTTATTACACCTAGCCACTGTGTAATGTAGTTTTAAAATTAACGGATGGAACAATTCTTGAATCCATCTTCTCTCTCTCTCTCTCTTGTACCAGTTGCCTCCTAATTGAAAACGGATCAACGAAAATCTCGGATGCTCGCGAACTCTCGATGCGCCCGAAAGTGTGTAAAGAGGCGAAAAGTCAAAGGGAATCGTAATC